CTCTAACTCATCTAGAGAGATTTGACCCCCTTTGTGTGTGTTTTAGTGGGTGTTTGGTGAAGATTGAAGAAGAAGAAACTTGGAGAAGGAGCTTTGATCAAGAAGGAGCTTGTAGATCCAGATTCCACTCTCATTACGAGCTTCATTGAGGTATAAAGCTTGGACCTTGCTCATTTTTTGCTTAGATATAGTTATTATGGATTTTTGATCACTTTTGGTCCCATGAATGAGATCTAGTGGAATTTTACCACTCCAGAAATTATGAGTTGCTTCTCTTGATGTTTATGAGACCCCTAGTCCATAAAGTTAGCATCTTGATGGTTGAGGATCAAAAATGCATGAGTTTATGTCCACTTGGTGAAAGTAGGATGCTAAATCTAGGGTTTGAGTTTATTTCAGCCATGCAAAGGCATCAAATTAATGACTTTATGAGTTAAGACGTTCCCGAAGGTCTGGATCTGAAATTTGGACGCTTGGTCTTAAGCATTAAGTGCTTAATGGCAAAATAGCTTAATAGAGGGCGTACGTCGGGTGTACGCAAGCATACCCAAGCGTACGCATCCGAGTCCCCGATCAGGCGTAGCCACCCAGTACGCCGGATGTACTTCTGGAATGCTTAGCGTACTCGGCCTAGTCATGGGCTTTTGTGGTTGGGCTACAAGTCTTTTTGATTATAGGCCATTGTTATGGATTGGGCCTTCTTAGATTTGGGCCCATATTGGGCTTTGAGTGTCCTTTAGGAATTGGGCCATTATTGGGCTTTTGTGCCATTAAGTGTGGGCCTCGGCTTTTGGGCCAATTGAGGGAAGGTTAAAATGGTATTTTACCATGGGGGTCGAGATTAGTTGATTAAAGTCCCGATTATGGTTTATGACCTAATTATTAATTAGGGTTTTATTTGATTGGTTAGTGCGGGGATTCTCCGGTTCAGCAGCCCGAGCATCTATTTGACTGACAGCAGTCTGAGGTGAGTTTGCTCAGTATACTATATGACACTAGGGATTATATGTGTGCTTGTAGTATTTGTAACTCCTGTTGTATATGTGTATGTCTGTATGCATGTTTGCTATAGACCCGGGGGTGAAATAGACCTGGTACAGCCTTGTGTTGACATATGAGTTGAAATAGACTCGGGGGTGAAATAGACCCAGTATGGCCTTGGGCTGACATATGAGTTGAAATAGACTTGGGATGATCGCATCACATACACCATGACTTTTCACTTATTTGAATCTGATGTATTTTGGATGATTATAGGTACATTATGATTTCCCTATGGTTTTGATAAAACACGTTCGGTCCCTATGGTTTAGGGTAATTTGCGCGTTTGGTCCTTAATTTATTTTTTTAACTCAGAAGGTCCCTATTGTTTGTTTTTGTTACACGCTTGGTCCCTGTCTTATCTAAAAATACTATTTTGCCATTGATTTTTTAATTTATTTAATAAACACACCCCCAACCTCACCCCCATCATCTTACATTACCTACCCCACCATTTTTCCATATTTAAATAATAGTCTTTTTAGGTAAGACAGGGACCAATCGCGTAATAAAAACTAACAGTTGGGACATTCCGAGTTAAAAAAAAATAAGTTAGCGACCAAGGGCACAAATTATCCCAAATCATAGGGACCATTCGTGTAGTTTACTCTTTAATATAAAAACAAAATTTCTGGTTTTGAGCTTTGGGACGTTACATAATTTTTTTCTAAAAGTTTGTTATATATCATAGATTATGATTTTTTTCAAAAATATATTCATTTTGATACCAAACTTAAATTTTAAGAAATGTTAATTTTTATTAATTTGTAATTTTTATGAAAACTAACTATACATTTTTTGAAAAGACTTTATATTTTAAACCATATAAAATAATTTGACTTCTTTTATAAAATAATATATAGATGTAGCGAGCTATAATGATGATTCTCTTCTTGAGTGACCTAATCTCAAATTGAGAACATAAATACACAAACCAATATTATATATACTAGTGGTGTACCCGCGCAAAGCTGCGGCGGCGAATAATAGTTCTAAATAGTTTCGTTTCGGCGATTAGTTTCACCGTGGCGAACGACGAAGAATTTTCTTGTTGTTTACAGTTATTTTCGATGATCAAATTTTAGAAATTTTAAATTTAAAATATTAACTTAAGGAATAATATAAAAGTAAAGTTTTAGGTTAATATGATTTTACAAAAGAAATTATATGTAAAAATGAGAAAAGGTAAAATATGTCTTTAATAATAGAATAATTTTATAGCAAACAATGAATTTTGTAGTGAGTATTGCAAAACCAATGGTGGTTTTGTCATAAGGGAGGGTTCTAGTCCCGTCTTGAACGTAGGTGGATTTAGGTGTTAGTTTAGGAGTAGATTATATATTATATTTGCCGGTTAAAAAAAAAGGTTTTGTCATAAGGAAAAATATTTTTACAATATGTGGCAAATATTATTAAAGTGGATATATTTGTATTTCTTACGAGTCAGTTTAAACGTATATTTTTATATGAATCTTTTTGTATGATATGATAAAAGATGATTGATTCAACTCAAAATCATTATCTTGGTTTTATATTTGAAAAATGATATATAGCAAATTATTTTAATATGTCATGAGTTTTTTTGATACAAAATAATTTAAATTTGTTATTCAAGTATTGTCGATATAAATTTGTTACTAAATAATTTGGAGAATTTGGGATTTTAAATATCTTTAAAACTTTGAAGATCAGATTTTGAAAAGAAAATATTTCACCACGCTTCTATAATACTTGATAACACTAAAATCATAATCATTCAAACAAATTATCCAAATCATTTCTTAAGTTTTAACAATATCTCTAGCGAGTCACAAACGACATCATGCGTCTAACTTTTCTTTCAAGATTTAGACAAGAGAGAAGTGATAATAAAGACTTTGACATATTTCTTTGAATTTTAGTAGCTTCTTTATTTATACTAATTTAAGTTGCAGAAACTTGTAAATAAGTAATTTACATAAATGGTCCCTTAGGTATGTTAAAATGTATGATTTTTGACTGATTTTTTCTTTTTTGCATAGAAACATATGGACTAAATTTAAAACTTTTTGCATACAACAAGATAGTTTCGGTGATTTAATCTTTTTTAACGCAAAGTTATGCATAATCACTCATCTAATAAATTTATAGAAAAAACCCTTTAAAAATATATTGAGTCAGTTAACAATCTTGAGTTACCAAAGTAACAAATGTTAACTGATGAGATAGAAAGTTATGTTTTGGTTAACAATAAAATAACAAACATCTTCCTTCGATAAATAAAGCCATAAAGAATGGCTTGAACATCTTTGTTATAGCAATGCAATTGTGTAGCTTTTCAAAATGGTAAAGAATAAATTCCCAATAAATTAAACTCTCAACCTTAAAATCTTTATAAAAAAAATATACTAATAAACTTGCAAATGAATTGCACCCAATCGATCAATTACAAAAAACTTCCTTGAGAGAACATTAAAAACATTTGATCAAAAACAAAAAAACTCCCTACCAATTAGAACAATTAATATATAACTAAATTTTGCTACCATTCTTTGCAGTTTAACCATTCCTTTTCCTCTGACCACTCACATTTATTGGTTAATTGGCTTTCTTCTTATCCACTTTAAATCATGAAACAAACTCTTTTAGTTCAGACTAAAAACAAACATATAGAAACAAAATCATAGATCAACTTAATCTTCATATATAAAATTACACTAAGATTTAAGATATCAACAAAAAAAGTCAAGATAGATTCGAGATGAAGAACCATATACCTGAAACTATCAAGGAAGAAAAATTTCTTTAAGTTTTTTTTAATTCAAAAATCAGAAGCAGAGAGGAAGAACTCAGAACTCAAAAACATATAACGGTAAACTTGAATAAATCAATACCCCCAAAACTTTAAGATACACACTCGCTAAGAAAAAAAAAGGAAAGTATATACATTTGTTGTTGTTTCTTGAACCATTAACTTGTTTATACACAGGAATAGAGAAATTAGTATTAAAATATCCAAACACATGTCAATAACATTGAAGAAAAAAGAAGATTACTGACAAAAACTGACCTCTAGTGATGGACTTCCATAAGGCTTCGTCTGTTGGGTCCTTTATTTCATGTTCCTGCCATTCTACAACCTATAAACACACATAAATTTAGGCCCTTTATTAGAGAGACAAAAAGGGAATGAGAGAAAGAGATGGAGTAGTTTTTAGCGAGAGACAAAGAGGGTGAAAGAGAGAAAGACGGTGGTGCAACTAAAGATTTGAGAACGACACCGAGCAAAAGAGTCAGATAAATTTTCACTCAGAAAGCTATTGTTCAACAAAAGAGATATCTATAAGGAAGCATAAATAAGTATCATACAAAATGACTGAACTGGAGAAATATGGAAAATAAGATATATGAGAAATCAAAAGCGAGATAAATTGGAAGATGCTTACCAGTTTAGGATCTTGTTCATTTGATGATGTAACAAAAAAAAACGGGTTTATGAGAGATACTCTACAAACCAGTGGTGAAAGTGTTGGCGGCATCATTGATTTTCGAAGGTAGTGTCTAACGAAGGAGATGGTGACGCAATAGATCGATAAAGGTGGGGAAGGCGGAAAACGATGGTGACGGAGGCATATGGTTGTTCGTGGTATCTAGGTCTAGGTTTTAAGATATAAAGTTGGATGAGAACGGATTTAGGATTAAGTGGTTATGCTGGGTGGCGATGGTGGTAATGGTGGAAGAAGCTGTGTATAGGAGTTTAGGGTTTTCCACGTAAGGAGTTACAAAGCAGATGTGTGTGTATATATTTAGCTTAACAAGATTGTACATGGTCTTATAATAATTGTACCTCTTAATTTTCAAGAAACATCTAACATGTTTTATATAATAGTAAAGATTATTAATTGTTGGTTGGTGAACACGAATCTTTTAGGATTTAAATTTCTTCCACAAATTTTCTGGGTTTTAAACATTTGCCACAACGACCGCCTTACAATATCGTTATCTTCTATTGTTCTCTTGCGGTTGCCGCCATCACCGCCATCCTTTCCACCAATGATATTTATTGCGCTTTGTTTATTTCTTTTCCTCTTTCGTACCTCTTTCTTTTTATCTCAATTTGCTCCCAATTTCATCAGGAAGCCTTCCATGTCTGTAACCCCCTTCCAGTCGTTTCTTTTTCTTTCTTGCAAAATATTCCACCGACTATTTCCTTTTCTTTCTTCCAAACGAGAAAGATGATGAAGAGAGCAGATGTGTCGCTGCTGCTGGTGGTCAGTGACGGCGTCACCAGAGTGCAGGAATGGCGACAAATTCCAACACCGATTGAACCATCTATTTTCCCGATTTCGGCATCCGACTTCTTCCGTAGATATAGGTGCCGTTTTCGGATAATAAGCTTCAACTGATTTGGTTTATTTTCTTTCTCTATCACTTTTTGTTCCTCTTATATGTTTCTGTGTGACAGATTTCGCTTAATCCATGGATGCTCTAATTGAGTAATTCTCCAACTCGCAAATGGAGTTTAGTCAAACATACCTCAAGTGCTTCCATCATTTTCTGTCCCTAAAGAGTTTAGTCATTTCAAGTGCTTCCAGCATTTTCTGTCCCTAAAGAGTTTAGTCATTTCAAGGCCTTAATCCCAACTGCTATGCTCATTACTGTTGTCGCTATACTGGTAATATTATTTTTCTCTAAAGTTACCTGTGATAATTAACTGTTTTTTTTCAAACATGCAAATGATTAGATGTCTTTAATTTAGGAATCTGTGGGGATTGATAAAGCTTTCGCAGTAAGGAATGGATATGAACCTGACTCTAATCAAGAGGTGTGTTTCACAAATGAAAATCTAATTCGGAATACTAATGGTTATATTATTATTAATTATTAATTATATATAAATATTATATTTCTTTTTAACAGTTATTTGGCCAAAACTAGCTGACCCTGCTTTGATATTGCAGCATCATTCTCCAAGAAAATTATTCAGTTATACCCCTAACTAATTAAGGTTGACATTTGAAAGAAAGTTTGATAAAGTACTTCAACTGCTCGATGAAATGCTTCAACCAGGTATCTGAATTTTCTTTCCAGTTTGCTATTAGCTCGTGCTTTGATGATTTTATTGTTACACTTGATCTTCATTTATGTAACATATATAGTTTTTGTTCACACAACACATTATGTCTCAATGGAAACCTTCATTAACACAACATTTATTACTTGAATTAGCAAACCTTATCAATTCCAAATAATTTTATGAATTAGTACTTATAATGAACTGTTAACTGTGTTGTTGGTTCATGGTCTTTATAGTGAACAAATTTCCAAGTAATTAAGGGTCTGTTTTCACTGTTAAGATCTCATATTTTTCCATTTTATCCCCTTTACTTAGCATGGTGAATAGATGATATTATTAGTTGAGATAAGATTCAACTTTAGAATTTTGGATACTATCACCAATATCAAGTATTTTTTGAAACATTATGGAACAAAAATGTTAAAAACAGTTATACTTAGGGACTAAAAATATAATATACTTGAATTTTTTTAAGAGGCTTTTGAATTGTCTTTGTGAAGTTGACTGTTTGACTTTTTTGATACAGGGTCAACACGTGTGTTCGTATTATAGTCTTTATGGGATTTACAAATACGGGCCGGGTTGTAAATATGATCAGCCTGTGATGGTATATTCGTATAATTACACCATGGGGAATGATGACATCATCAGTTCTCCCATATGCAACAGGTAATGGAAAGTTATCTACAAATGATTCTTCTCAATATCATTCCGTTTAATGTTGGATTATTGTTTTCTTATTTGTTTTTTGTTCAAAAAGTGGAAGTAAGCATAAAAAAGTCCTATTTTTTGACATACATTAATCTTGCTTCTTGATTTTGTGATGTTTTTAAAGACACCCATATTAAGTAATTTGAAAAAAAAATCGATAAATGGTGTCATTAGAAAAAGAATGGTTTTGTTTAATTTGTATTATTAGCTTCGAAAACTAGGAAAACCGTTGTTTTCACATTGTTATTTAGATTAATAGTTCAACAATTTTCATGTTTTGAAAACTCGATTTCTAATCCTAATATTCAAATTTTGTATTTTTTTTGGTACCTTGAACAGCAAAAAAAGGTAACCTGATTAAAAGGAAGACAAATAACCTTTGTTAAGAGTGTATGTGTTACAAAAAAAAGAGCAAGAATTGAACTTACTTTTTTTGGCTTACCCAATATTCTTTTTCCCAAACCTGGGAATAGTCGCTCATGTATTGGGTTGGGGTACAGGTCCTGAAAAGTCAAAAATTTATCTAATGTAAAACAAAAGTCTAACCGACTCACGATATCTATTTGGTTTCATTCTTAATCATGTGGGAATGCAATGGCCACCTACTATCATAAGATCAATCAATAGATTTTGTATTTCACTTAATTTTATCTAAAGAATATCAATATTTACTCTTTCATCCATTTACACAAATTCAAAGGCTTTCAACACAATGTACTTTCTGCAAATATCACTTATATGACAAGTTTTAATAAAAGTTTATGGAAGAGCTTGTATTCAATAATATGTATTAGATTAAAAGTTTAATTTAATGATATCTAAACTTATTCATTTTAATGTTGATATTTTAGGTGAAATTTGGCGAAAGCTTCAGGGTTGTGTTCTAGTGCAGCAGCCCAATTCTGATCAATACCTTTCTTTAATAGAAGTCAAACTGAGTTTATAACCAATTACCAAATATCTAATTAATGTTCTCATGTGAGAAAAATTGATAAATAACTCACACACATGATGGATTCCAACTTCAATTTTCTTTTGTGCCTCCACATTAAAAGGATATGCCTAAGAATGAAAACAGTAACATAACATCAGATTAAGGGAGTGTCTCTCTGATTTGGACCATTTTACCCCTGCATGTGGGCAGGTCATGTTGTCCCTAGGTGTTTGCTTTGGCTATCATACAATGCATAAGTAATTCTAACCAATTACATACCAATGGTTTATTTAATAGATATTGATTTAATGAAATTTATAATTAATTTATATTAATTATATACAAATAAATAATATTCTATTATAATTTTATAATACATAATATTTAGAACTATCGTAATAACAATATATATAATAATACTAAATAATAGTAGTATTTGTTAAAAGTATTTGACAATTCATATAAGTTATGATCTTTTTTGGGGTCCTTTGGATCACCCGAAACAAGAAGCAAAAAAATATGTTTATTTTATTGTATATGTGTTTTTATTTTATGATTTATATTTTATGGAAGTGTGTTTTGTGTGTTTGTGGTTGTGATGCAGGGCTGATTTTCGTCAACTTGCAAATCAAGGGAGTTGGGCTAAGAACACTCCTGGAAAAGGAGCCACTATGAGACCACAGAAGTCTGGGAGTGGAAGAGTTGTTGAAGCTTCTCTTTCATCATCTCCTTCATTGAAAGGGAAAAGAGATGTGATGGCTAAACATTCAGGTAAACTTCCTTCACTTAAAGGAATAACAATTAGCTTTGTATATGTAATCCTCCTTACAATTCTTCTTTCTATTGCATTAATTCTTTACTTGTGTTTTTGCAGAGGCCATGGACTTCAGAGATTTGTGCAAAAATGAATGTGTCATGCTTCTTGGATCCAAAGGCCTCCTGTATGTTGAATATGTCTTTATTAATATAATATTATGTTCTACTACTGATACAACTTGAAACAAGAGAAAATAAACTAACACAACGCCAAAGGCGCGCATGATTCACCTCTAGTTTATTATTAACATGCATAGCTTGAATTAAATATTATCTAAAGGTTGCTTTTAAAAAAACTTTTAACTTAGAAGTGTTGATATCGATTAAAGTACACTTGACAATGAGTTCTAATTTTCATATTAATTTTAAGAAAAAAAAGCTTGAATTGAAGAAAACATTTTATTCAGTAGTATGAGTTTAAAACATTTAAAAAAACTCCTAATCCAAAAGCTAATTCAAATAAATGTGTTATAAGTTCCAACTAGTAGCTATTTTTGCAAACTAGGGATGAGAATTTGGCCATGAATCCCAAACCGAATCGAAACCCGAACTGAATCAAACCAAATTAGGCTCGAATAAGCAATTCGTTTTGGTTTTTGGGTTATTCGGTCTGGCTGACCAAAATAAGAGTTTATTCGGTTTCAAATACCCGACTCAGAATTGAAAAGTCATTTAATTTTAATCTTGGTTACTTTCCCTCGTTAATCTCTAGTAACCCTTATCTAATCGAAGTCGAAATCGAATTCGTGCCCTGCATTCCTCGTCCCCTTCTTTGATCGACATAAATCGAAATCATGTTCACAACAGAAAAAAACCCTACGCTCATCCTCGTCGTTTCAAAATCGACCAATCTTCTCAATTATTGCCAAACTTGAAATCACATCTGTCGGTTAGATCTACCGTTCAAGTTTGATTTTCTTCAACACGCGTTTGAGAAGTTGATAAAATTGAAAAATATACAAAAAGATCCCCTGCTCAACTCGGTAGTCAGTTTGAAGGCTAAGGCCTTAATACGAGGTCTTCAAAAAAGATTTGAGAATTTTTTTTTCTACAAATCAAAATTTGACAATACCGACTCTTCTCAAAGTAAAAAACATGGTCATGCAGATGTAGTTGTGATTGATGACGAGAATGACTTCATAGGTGATTTAATAGTACAAACGGATTACCCATCGGTATCAATGGAAACGGAGTTGACATGATACCTAAACGATTAGTCAGTTAAATACTATAAAGATTTTGATATTCTACTTTGGTGGAAACAAAATGCATCTCGTTACCTTATTGTATCTCGTATGACGAAAGGTATAACTTTATTATTTGTATACTTTTTTATAATTATATTTGAACACATTCTATGATTATGTTGATAGATATTTTGGGACTGCAAATCTCTATCGTGGCATCAGAGACGACTTTTAATACAAGCGGGCGAATATTAGATCCATACCAAACAAATTTGTTCGCAAATATAGTAGAGGATTTGGTTTGCACCCAAGATTGGGTATGGAAATCAAGAAATCCAATTACGGACAACATTGATGAAATTTTGAAAGATGATGAGGTCGCGAAAGCTTTAGAAGGTGCGATAAACAATGGAGGCGGAAAAGAAAAACAACCAATCAATATTCCCGAATACTTAGTTCGTGTTTAACAAATGTTATATTGTATATGGTTAAAAACTTAATATTCATATTTTAGTTTGCGTGTTGAATGTTGAATGTTTAACTTATATACTTATATATGGATTTTTAGGTGTTTTGGGTGTTTAATGTTTAGTGTTTAGTATGTTGCTTCATAATTATATCTAAAGATTTTGATGTTTGGATTTTACATTCTTATGTCTCAAGAAGAGTTAATTTGTGTTTACATTCTTACTACATAAATTATAACCTTTTTTTGCACCTTTGAAACAGTTATGTATACTTTGCATTATTTTTAATTAACAAATTTGTTTCTTTAAAAGATTTATTCGGGTTATAGAATCCTAATACAGTTTATTCGGTTCTTTTCGGTTATATTATGTCCTTAATCATCTTCTACATGTTATTCGGGTAATAACCACATGAACCAATTAATAGCCGAACCGAACCGAACCGAACCGAAGGCGTACTAGTTAATCGATCCGGTTTTCGATTCATGCAATCACCCTTATTCAACTTTTGGGTTATTCGGGTTCGGGTCAGTCCGGTTTCTGCCCGAATAACTGTTGGATTAGGTGTCTAAGTCCATAACTAAATCTGGTATGTACTTGAATTGATAGTAGCACAATCCTTTTTGGTTGTCCTCAAACCTAGCAATTGGACATGATGATTTTAGAGAGAAAGAGAGATTAATTTATTATGTGAATAATAAATTAAATAAATGGTTTATTAATATGTTATGAAAATAATATATTAATTAGAAATCATATTATCTAATTAATAATTAATCAGAAATTAATTGGAATTAATTTTGGGATTAATTGGATTAATTAAAAGTACAGAGACTATTTTGTTATTTATTAATAACTGAGAAAGGAAAGCTCTAGAACCTTTTAAAGGAGGTGGACAAAAATATCTAGGGAAACCCTAGGAGATTTCATCCAAGGCCCCCTTGGACAAGGGGTTTGGGCTGCTTGGTCACCAAGCAAAGGATCTAGGGCATATCCCTTTAAAACCTAGCTTTGGCACCATGTTTCCTCAACTATATACGGAGTTCCCTAGCCTTATTTTCGTCCCATGCTTCCCTCCACAAACCTTGGACGGAATTTCCCTCCTCTCTCCTAATTCATTCTCTTGCTAGTTTGGGTGTGATTCCATTAGAGGCACGACACTTGTGGTGCTTGCTTCCAAGAGATCTTCAAGAGGAATCCTAGTTGTTTGCTATAGCAACTAAAAAGTATGTAATCCTAAAACCTTCTAATGTTAATTTCGAAAATTGCCTAGGGTTTGCAGGTTTCTTTTTGATGTTCTTAGTTATAGGTTCAATAGAGAAAATATAGATCCTATTTAGGTTGCATGAAAACTTAAGGGTTTTAATTTTATTTGTTTACCTAAATCTCATCAGTTGTATCAGAGCGTTTGGTTTGTTTTATGTTGAATAGCTATAATAGAAGAATAGACCAATTAGGGTTTATTGAAAATTAAACCCTAGGAGGCCATATTTTCGACAAAGGGTTAGGGTTTTGGAAACCCTAACCTCCACCCCTTGGATTTCAAATTTAAGGGCTAGGGTTTGGAAACCCTAGCCTTCCTCCCCAATTAATTTTGAAAATGGTAGGCTTGTAGGGTTTCCATATTTGATAATTGTTAGCTTAATTTGATTAAAAAGGATAATTATAAAATTGGAATCCTTTATCCTAATTTTCAAAAATTAGAGGGTAAGGATTAGGATTAAAATTTTTGATTAATTTAATTAGATAATCCTTAATGAATTTAATTGTTAATAATTAAATCATTATTAATTTATTTCAAATTTAATTAATTGAATATTAATTTTGAAATTTAAAATATAAACCCTAGTATTTTGAAAAGTTTAAAATACACATTATATTATATGTTAAACTAAAAGCTTAATTATTACTATATGTATAAAAATAAGTCATTAATTGAATATTAATTTTGAAATTTAAAATATAAACCCTAGTATTTTGAAAAGTTTAAAATACACATTATATTATATGTAAAATTAAAAGCTTAATTATTACTATATGTATAAAAGTAAGTCAGTCAAATCGCTAGTATGCCTCATTCACGAAGTTGGTCTATAAGGGGGTATAAGAAAACTGCCTATAAAATGGTAGTTGAATGGGTGTCCACTCTCACCCACTACTTCCTTGATTAGTGGAGGGTCGTTAGTCGAACGGATTTGATAGGACAAAATTAATTCTCATTAAAAGTATAATGATATTAAAAGGAACTAACCCTTTTTATTAAAAATCCCCATGTTAGTTACTTTAGAAAATATGAATTTGTATGCTAACCCATGAAAATGCACATTACACTTTATAAGTCGTTAGTGGAGCATGTGTGGTTAACCAAGACACTAGTAGGGACTAATAAAGAGTTGTGATGGGTATATCATAAATTATCATTGTTGATGGAGTGTGTGTGGTTTACCAACACATCAATTGAGATGATAAACGACATTAAGGTTACCAAGAACATTTGTATGGTTATTTACACCTTGTTTGTGATCCTCGACATCACAGTCACAAATAGAAGAGCATAATCTGATATTAAAAATGACATTGAATAGTTTCAATGAATCTCAAAAGATCTAGGAATTTCACTTAACTTAATTTCTTTCAAATTTCGTTTTCTTTTGGTGGAATTGCTAAATCGTTATTTACCTACCTTTATAAAATTTACAATTAGATTACGACATCCCTTTTCTAAGTTGTGAATTATATAGTTGGATCCTAGCCTTAATATTTTATTTTGGGTTATTATATTAAGGATTATTCTTATCTAACTAAAATTACCTTCCTTTTACAAATGTCCACTCTAACTGATGCTTCTGGTTCCACTTCCTCCAACCACCATAACTTTTCCTTTCTTTCCATCTACTCCAAAGTCATATTGGATGGTTCCAATTACAATGATTGGATGCGACCTATCAAAATGGCCCTTCGATTTGATAAAAAAAGAATATGTTCTTGAAAAAGAACTCAATGAGATTGACGAAGAGAAGGTCACTCCCGAAGAATTAGCTTCCTACAAGAAGCACTACAATGATGCAACAAAAGTTGCTTGCATCATGGTAGCCACCATGACCTTAGAGATGCAAAGGTTTTATAAGGTATACTGACCCTATGAGATGAACAAGGACCTTGTCGAAAAGTACCATAAGCAAGCATATCAAGAAAAGTACGAAGTGGTCAAGTCCTTCATGGCATGAAAGATGAAGGATGGAGAATCTGTCTGTGGCCACTTAGAAAGGATGCAATTACATGGATCGCCTTGTTAGGTTGAATGTGCATTTTGATGAGGAGTTGGCTATTGACATAGTCCTAAACTCTTTACCTAGTTGTTATGATCAGTTCATTTTGACCTATTATTTGAGCAATAGTGAGATCACCCTAGCTCAATTGCACAATTTCCTGTAGACAGCCGAAGCAAGAATGAAGGGAAAAAGTGTTGCCTCCACTCCTACTAGTGCTTTTGTTGTAGCCATTCGACAAGCAAAGGGTAAAAAGAGGAAAGGTCCTCCCAAACAAAATTGGAAAGGAAAGTCTCATGCAGGGTCATCCAGTAATGGCCCCAAAGGAAAGTCTAGTTCTGATCACCTACCCTCTTCTGATCCCAAAGAGGCTATCTGCTTTTATTGCAACGACAAGGGGCATTGGAAACGAAGCTGCCCGAAGTATCTTCTAGATATCAAAGATGGAAAAAGTGAAGCCAACTTCTGCAGGTATATACACTATTTCATATGATAATTCATCATCTTCTCATTCTTGGGTCCTTGATACAAGATGTGGATTTCACAGTAGAATGAACCTGATCATGGGAAATAGGTGGAGCACGGTAGAATGAACATGATCATGGGAAATAGGTGATCTTCACCTGTCACCAAGATTGGAGTTTATAGTCTAGTGCTTAGTAATGGTGTTAGTTTAGATTTGATAAATTGTTGCTACTCATCAGAAATGACAAGAAATATTATCTCTTTTCATGAACTGTTCAGACAATGGTTTAGATACTCATTTAACGATTTGAATGGCTCTATTTCTGCTTATAAAAATGGTGTTTTTTATTTTGAAGCTTTACCTTGTGATGGTGTGTATGAAAATGTGATGTGTGTAGACAATTTAGGCCATAATGTATTTCAAATTGATTTGTCTAATGGTATTGACAAAGCATGCTTGTGGTATTGTCGTCTTGGACACATTAACAAGAAACGCATATCCCAACTCCAAAAGGATGGAGTGTTGGAATCATTTGACCTAAGCTCGGATGATGCATGCGAATCTTGTCTTTTGGGTAAGATGATAAAATCTCCTTTTCACTCGATCTTGTGAAAGAGGTGAATGTTTGTTGGATCTCATACACACAAATGTGTGTGGGTCCTTCAGATCCACCATAAGGGATTCAAATCGATTTTATGTAACATTTACAAATGATTATAGTAGATATGGTTATATTTATTTAATCAAACATAAATCGAAAATCTTTGAAAAGTTCAAAGAGTTTGAACATGAAGTCGAGAATCAATTGGGTAGAAAGATAAATATGCTCTGATTAGATAGAGGCGAAGAGTATCTTCGTATCGAGTTCCACGACGACCTCAAGGAATGTGGAATAGTTTCAAAATTGACCCCTCATTGGACACCACAACTTAATAGTGTGGATGAGAGGCGCAATCGAACCTTTTTGGACATGGTTCATTCCATGATGAGTCGAGCATCTCTTCCAATTTCATTCTGGGGGTATGCCTTAGAG